ATGACTGTTATCCATTGCAATTGTTGTAAAACTTATGATAGCAAATATTTATTTAAACATCTAAATTCAAAACATCATCAGAAATTTGTAGAATATAGATGGAATAAAGACGATACAATGAAAAAACTTTACAAGAAGAGAAAGGCAGAAATGAAAAATAATTTATCTTATTATTTATATGAATAGGAGTTATTCAAATTATATTAATATAATAGATGAAGTAGAAAATATAGAACAAGTAATAATTACTGATAATAAAACTAAAAAATGCTGTTATTATTCATTAGAATTAATTAAGTTTGTGATACAGTATATCAAAAATAAAAATGTAAATATTAATATAAATGGTGAAAAAGAAAAAGAAAAACAAAAATAAGACAAGTTTAAGTCTATCTTCAACAGAAGATAGCGGAGAAATTGTTAAAGAAACAGCAGTAATTGAGTTTTCTTGTCCAATGTGTAAAAAGATGTTAGAAATGAAAAATGAATTAGAAATAAAAAATAATAAAATTGTAAATGTTCATGTATTCCAACAAGTTTCAAAATAAGTAAAAATGATAAGAAAATGAGTATTGATAAAACTAAAGACAGTATCAACTTAGAAACTGATGTCCATAATATAACTTTTAAATTTGGTAGGCAAGCAACACCAACCGATAATAATGAAAACGAAATTCAGGAAACTATTAAACAAATCATGAAAAATTAGTATTTAAAGAGTAGATTTAACATAATTGCACTTTATAAATATATAATTAAATAAATAATTATCTAAATAAATATATAGTAATGTCTGAAAATGAGAATTATACTATTAATGATTTAATGAAGAAGATAACATTAATTGGTAAAAATATCAAAAACTTAAATGATATGATTAAATCCATTGATGACAAAATGAAACCAGTTGAACGCAATGAAGATAAAGAAAAAATCGAAAAGATATTTCAAGCAAAATCTATAGGAAGACCATCGGGCGACTACCCTACAAAGCAAAAGAAATACTGCGATATGTTGAATACAGGAAAAATCAAACAACCTAAAAGCACCACTTTAGAATTTTACAAAATTTCAAAAAATGATGATGGAGTATATGTATTATTTGAATAATTAATTATCTAAATAATTATAATAAATGAATTTATTAGAATTATTTAGCGGAACAAAAAGCGTCGGAACCATAGCAAAGTCGCTTGGATTTAATGTGATATCATTAGACTTGAAAAATGCTGATATCAACACTGATATTTTGGAGTGGGATTACAAACAGTTTGACAGAAACCATTTTGATTTTATTTGGAGTAGTCCCCCATGCACTGAATACAGCATAGCAAAAACTAGGGGAATTAGGAATATCGAATATGCAAATAGTATTGTCTTAAAAACTATTGAGATTATCAAATATTTCAATCCCAAATATTTTGTAATCGAAAATCCACAAACTGGATTATTAAAACATCAGGAGTTTATGGATGAGTTTGAATTTAAAGATGTTGATTACTGTAAGTATGGATTTAATTACAGAAAACGCACTAGGCTCTGGAATAACATTACAACTTGGAAACCTAGAGAATTATGTAAAAGGGATTGTGGCAACATCAGAAATAATAAACATATTGAAACTGCACAACGGCTACCATCAGGCACTAAGGAAAAATGGGGAGACAACCCAACAATACATAAGCAAGAAGACCTATACAAAATACCTAGCGAATTAATTTGTGAAATCTTGGTGAGTTTGACGGATTAAGGATTTAGGTTTGGGGGTGGGCTTGCAACTTGAGCACATGCAATTGCAATGAACCAAACCACCACCTATTTTGATAAAATCGGGGAATGATTTTGATAAAATCGGGGAATGATTTTGATAAAATCGGGGCATGATTTTGATAAAATCGGGGAATGATTTTGATAAAATCGGGGAATGATTTTGACTAAAACCATGCTATGATTATAACATGTAAAATATTATATGTTATAAGTATATTCCAATATTTAATTTTATTTCTTGTAAAAAAGTATTTAAAGAAATAAACACTATATATATATATATTATAATAGAAATGGAGTTTCAAAAACTACCAGTTGAAGTTATTAATAATATTATGTCCTATAAATATGGCAAGCCAGAATATATGAAAATAAAACATAATCATAATGAAACATTGAAGAGAATACAAAGAAGATATAAAATTGACAAAACTGACATAGAAAGGGAAACAAAGCACTGTAATAATTTAGATGGTGATAAAGTAAAGAGACAAATATGTCAATATTATGTTTCTAGGAAGGTTCCATTAAGCATTGAAAGTATTGAAGATATAGTTATGAAAGAAGGGGATGAAATAGATAGCTTAATAGATAAGTGTGTAGGATATGAAAGTTATAAAGCAATAATAATAGTTGATATAATTTTATGTGTAAGGTTTCATCATTTTAATTATTTTGAGGATGATGAATATAGCAGTTATGGTTTTGATTTTCATAGTGGTAGACATTTAATGGGTTCTATAGACCAAGATAATATAACTGATGTAATGGAATACGCAGTTGCAACAATATGTAGAAATATTGATAATGAAAAGAATACAATGAATATTGTAGGAGTAAAACACATAAGGTTTATACTAATTATTGATAAACCTGAATAATAAAACCATACTATAATTATAACATTTATACCCTTATATGTTATAATTATAATGTAAGTATAGCGTTTTATATATTGAAGATAAAATCCTACAAGGTGGGCCATGCGCAACTCCGGAATATCCAAATTTTGAAAAATGATTAATTATTTGTCTTCTCATTGAATTATTGAAAATGTTGTTTCTTATTGAATAATTCTTCTTAAAATGATATATATATTTATCTCTTTTGAAAAAAAATATATTTTCTAAAATATTTTGGAAAATGTGTGTTTTTGAAAATGACAATGTTTAGGTGTGTTGAATTTTTCAAAAAATAATTCAATTTTTGTTTTGGTATGCAGTACTAAAAAAATATTTATCAAAATGTGTTTAGACTGTTTCAAAAAATGTTTTAAAATGGCTATTTTGAGGCGCTTATTCAAAAAATGCAAAAAATCCTAGGGTAGACCCTAGACTTTTGAGTCCGGAAAAAGTTGCGCATGGCCTACCCTAACTGTTTTAAGAGCCCTTCATCCTAACCTGCACTGGCAAGAGGTTGTCACAAAAGGCGTTCCTTCGCACCTTTCCGGTTACATTTCCCCGGCTTCCATGTTCTAAACCCCAGCGTCGGCGAGAAAATCCTCTCGGCCCCGACCCTTTTGATTTTTGATTTTCGCTCTTTAGGTACGCTGTACCAAAAGCCCTACTAGCCATGCTACGGGGAGATATGGCCGGAAAGGTGCGATTATGAAAAATTAGGACGCAGAGCTCCTAAACCGTACCTGCGATATATGGCGCGCGTTTAAGCAGGCCTATCTACACAAGCTCTCTGATTATTTGCTACGCCCTATCCTTTCCTTCGGCCGCGATTTGAGGGCACACGCCTAATTCGCTATGTGCTTTTTGGTTTCTGGGCATTGTAAGCCATAAGAATTTGTTGCTAGAAGCCGCCAGGGCCGAAGAGATTCATCATCATAAAACAAACCCTGCTTCGGCGTCACACCTATTTCAAAATAAGCACCTGGGAAACAAAAAACAAAGCTCAGCCCGCTTTGCTCTCAGGTAATCTTGCGACATTTGGGCGCGACCAGAATTTCTTTCTCAGGGGAGGGGGGTTATTTTAGGAGCCCTTCGTCCTAATCTGCACACAAAGGCCCTCACCTCCTGCGCACCTTTGCGGCTACATTTCCCCGTAGAATGCTTCCAGGTTCTGAACCCCAGCGTCAATGAGAGAATCCTCTCAAAAGGCCTTTTGAGTATTAATTTTCGCTCTTTTAGGCCCGTTGTAGCAAGAGCCCTGTTAACCACTAGCGTACCATGGGGAGAAGTGGCCGGAAAGGTGGGATTAGGACACCCAAGCGCCGCAAACTAGGGCCGAATAAAGTCAAACCCTCAAGATCAAGACTTCTACGACTAGCACAAAGCCGCCGCAAAACACAAAATCCCCGTGCTCTCCCAAACAAAAAGAACAACACCTTAGCGGCGTACATAACCCCTACAAATATTAGGAGGTCACTAGCCTCAAGTGCTGCACGGCCGCCGCCTACTATGCCCTAACAATTTTTTTTGCCAGCTTTAATTTCTCGGATGTTATTCTAGACCAAAGCCGTGGTTTTAGCTCCAATTTGTGTATGTGTGTGTTTGCGTTTTTTTTCACAAACATTATTAGGTGCAGTTTCGCGACCGACTCCTTACTACAAAGGGCCTGCCATTGCGCTAGGAAAAGACGTTTAGGAGTCCTACGTCCTAACAAACGGGTCGTTCAGCAATTCCTACTGGTTTTTTTTCATCGCCCCCGCAATCCCCTATCGGAGCCTTATATTTAGGAGACGCGTAATTATCAAAACCAAGCGTAAGCCAATACTAAGCCCCCGATAGAAAAATCCAATTCCTTTTCATTCTATCTTTAGCTCCATAGGATGCTCTTGGTTTTAATCAGACTTCTTGCCCATTCTTCTCTCGTTCTAAACAAAAATCGTGGTTATAAGCTCCGTGTTTATGTGTATGTATGTGTATGTGTACGCATAAATGTGTGTGTCTATGCATGTGTTTACGATTTGTGCAGATTCTATTGGGCAAAGGTCGCCTCAGCGAAAACAACTTTACAACAATACTACAAACGCGCGCTCACACTCGGGTGCACTTATAACATATTACAATAATACACCAAACAATACCCCAAAGGAACAACTACAAATAACCAACTCCCTTAGAAATACTACAGGCGCTATGTAAACTAATTCCACACTACACAGAACTCAAGTAGCTCTTTAGCTCCCTCCAGATAGAAGGGTAGAATAACAATACCATTTTTTGATTCGCTCATTGTTATATTGAGTATGTCAAAATTTTGATTAAATCTATATTGTCAGTTGAATTATTACATTAGACCATTGTTGTTCTTCGGCAGTTCAACGTTGTCAAGAAAGGCTGCTTTGGCAGCAAAGGTTGAAGGTGCAGGCCTGCATGCAGCAGCTCCTACCTCTCAGTCATTCCCTTCGCAGGCCGAAGCGAGGAGCAGATTTAATGAGGCAGATCCTCAAAAGGGACTTGGCTTGCGCTTCGACAAGTATGCCTGGAGTTGAGGAAGGGCATCAACTGCCTCAACCGCCGCCTTAATCTTGGGACTCTTCTGGAAGGAAGCTTTGGCTCCCTCTGTGTTGTCGAAGAAGCCTCCTGGGGCCAAGAGCAACATGTAGAAGCCCACATCAGCTGCAGAGACCTTGCTTCCAACCAGGAAAGGTCCAGGACTTGGCGGGAGCGACTTCTCTGCAAGCTTTACCCAGTTGGGCAAATCCTCTGCAAACCATTTGTCCATTGCCTTCTTCTTCTCGTCTTCATTTTGGATTCCACGGACTTTCTGGTAGGCGTCCTTGATATCTCGCACTGTTTCTCCCAGTTGGTCCACCTGGGCCGCTTCTACTGGACTTGAGCCCATCAAGCCGAGCTCACGTGCCAAGAAGCGCTCAATGGCTTTGGATTGGCCAACCTGCTTGCCATCCACCTCCAGCAAGGGAACTTTGCCCAAGCTCACATCCAATGCGCCACTGGCCTTCATAGCATCAAACTCTGGTCTTTTGATGGTGCTGAAGTCCCCAGGTGTGCCGAACCTTAGCTTTGATAAAACGTGACACTTGGTTCCTCAGGAAACATGATCAGGAGTACCTGGAAATACAGTTAAGCCACTTTTCGGTAAAAGGCCAATTCACAAGCCGAGCAGCGAGAAAGAGAGGCGGACATCTTCATAGGGCACCTGGGCAACAGCAAACATGATTCGCGCCGGCTCCGCAAGGCCGCGGATGTCAAAATAGGTCAGCTTATAGGAAGGCATAGTCGCAGGACGGCTTTCGCAGCTCCCCATGATTATCTTCGACTTGAGCCAACGAGACTGACCTATGCAAGCAACACATACAGTGAAGGATATAGAGGTCGTACGTTGTCACCATTGCCAGCAACAACTTGATTGTGCCGCAACTTATCCTCAATATACCTGGCTACCAAGAAAACTTGAATCGATTGTATATGCCCCGCAAATCCACAATCTGTGGGCAAATATTCGTGCTTACAGGCAAACTTAACAATGGCGCCCATCTGGGCATAAAGTGCCCCAACTAACAACCCAAATTATAAGCTACTAGTACAAACGTCTTCCACCCCAATACGGTCAATTAAACTTGCGCGTCCCCCTCGCAACCCAAGAAGCACTCTTGGTCTTAGGTTAAGCCAAACGTGCTTGGCAAAAAAAGGGTTTGATACTTCGTACAGCCACCAAATCCAACGAAGCCCACCCCTCCAGCCTACACATGCGATACATCCTGCTCATTTAGGCCAGTTGGTGTCTCTCTTTGTGATTTTCCATCACTCGCCAAGCAAGTGTTAGGAATCCTCTGGACTGTTGCACGATTTGCCTATAGTCCAGGCTTGTTCTGTATGCGCGTGTTTGCTCGTAAAAACATAAAATAATAATTGTAATCAGTCTCAGGTACAACTCGGATAGACGCACGTTCAGACCCCCGTGTTCTACCGTGTTGAACATGAGGATCTAATGTCCTTGCAGACAACCTCATCTTCGGTATGTTCGCGAGGTTTTGATGCCGTACCTCCGCAGGTGCAACCGGATCGCAAACTCACCTTTTCCGGCACGGGCGGAATCTTTTGTTACATTGTCTTTCAAAGGCTTCGAATGAAACGATCAAGCGCTACCGCACCTGGTTGGCCCTCAGCCTCGCAGCTTGTTAGAGGAAATCCAACGGGATAGATGAGTCGCAACATGTCACAACCAAAACCTGTCGAAGGAGCCGAGCAAAACCCTAGTAAAACAAAAACGTCAGATAGAAACAAACACAAGGCCTCTTGGGATCGACCTCTAACTGCCGTTAAACTCTTGCCTACGGTTTTGGTTCCGCACCACTTCCAACTAGATATAGCGGGGTCATTGTCTTTCACACCCAAACATTGAAAACTATTTCAGGAACACAACCAAGAAACAATGCTTGATCGTCTCAAAGGATAATGCAGGAACCTGATCTTCGCTAGAGGCAACCGCACCGCTCTACGAGGATGGATGCGTGAGAGCACAAAGCGCTGGCAGCTTTGGCCGGCAGCTTTGGCCGAGGGACAAAGCCGGAGCCATCGCGCAAGGCGCCTTCGATCACCGTGATCTGATCTGAGGCGACTTGCCAAAGTTCAAACACTGGGGCTCACTCTAAAATGATGCAGAGACCTACCATCATAAAGCTTCAAGATCGCAAACTTTACAGATCAAAAATGGAATGCGGGTGGGGAAACAATTGCAGTGCCGCTGAAATGGATGAAACATTGTTCAGGGACCCATTGTTGCATCATGGCGTGCTTCCAAATGCTCGTGTTCCTCGCATGCTCAATGCAAATGCAAAAATAACAACATTCAGTCGACCATGCTTGCCTGCCAGCATATAACCAGGATTCAGTCAACCATACCAGTAACTGCCTGACCAAGCAGTGCTTGTCCCAAGTGCTCTGAGAAAGCAAGCTCATATACCGTACGAGAGACCCTCCTGTTCTATGGAGACCTCAGTGTTTTGAAGTCTCGATTTAGAATTTCTTGCATGCTGGGGGTCGTTGATGTGGATTGAACTCCCCAAGGCTCGACTGGTGTCGCACCAGACTCCTGGGCAAAATGGGATGTGTCTGTGACGTACGCCTGGGTGCATGTATGCGAGTATGAATCGGACAGCATTCCCACCCACCATTTTGAGAGTGTTCGTTGCTTTGCTCTTGATATCTCTTCTTTTGTAACTGGTCATCCTACATGCCCATGATGATTTTGCTCAGGCTGCACTTCACCCCACATGCAGTCACTGGACCATGTAGTAGTCATCCTTCACCCACAGCACAATCCACCTGCAAGGCACATGAGGCTCATTCGCTGAGCTGCCATGAGGATTGCCAAGCTTTACACCCCATTGCAGATCACGCCGGCCAGAAGGAACTGACACAAAGCGGCAGCCTGATTTCCGTGGGGATTAATGCCTTTTAAGGAAAGTAGTCCGGCCATCAACATTAAAAAATGGACAACCCCTAAATCTGTTCGGTTCTCTTGAAACCCAACCCATGGCCAAAAGGTCCGGATTGCTCTGACCCGGGAAAGATTGGTCAGAGGTAAACCTAAGGGAGCCAACAGCTTGAATCAAACCCTTAAGAGACGCAAACAAAGTCTACCCAAGGCCTCAGGATGATATGCGGAGGCCCTGAGGTGTCTCAACTGGCTGGGCTAGCCATGGACCCCGAACACTCCCTGCCTCACGGAGAGGTACATGAGAAAGCCCACGGGGCCAGCGAGCATCGTCATGAGCAGGCAGGGCACCACCAACAAATGCGGCACCTGGGTCCAAATCGGAGCTGGCCTTTGATTCATGGAGTTCCAAGCCTCTTCCAGAACTATGTAAGAGATTGTACGATTTAGGGGGAACAGTTGTTGGGGGAGAGTTTGAGCCCTATTGAATTTATGCGGAAAGGAAAGTAGTTTATAAAGGCACCCAACTTTTGATCTGCAAGCAGCCAAGGCCATAACCAAAACCATGAGGAAGCTGGTCCTGTTCAGAGGGGTGCGCTTTTCTTTTGAAAAGTAAAGGTAACACCCAACTTTTGCACCAAGAACGACCCCACCAATGTCGTTGAGCAAGGGAAAGTGCTCATTAAGTGATTTTGGTTGCCCCTAAGCGCAGACCAGTTTTACGTCCATAGAGGGAATCTTTGGAAAGTTGAGACTTTCCTCTCCCGCCTTGAGCTTTTGACTGTCCAAGACCTCCCCCAGTCCAACCAGTGGGTCGAAGACGCAATAGTGCAACCAGCCTGCAAAGACCTTGGCCGGTTCCCATTTTTCCGCGTTGAGCAGCGGCCTACATTGATTGTGTGGGTAAGGCTGCATGTCCAAGTATGAACCCCCGGCCATTTTGGAACCTTTGGAGCCAACGGTTACTCAACCCAAAGACCCTCGGGGTTCATGCCAGGGGGTGATATTATATGGACTTACACATTCAGCCACATTAACACAGCTGCCCTCGCAAGGAGTATGGAATGCAAATGCATTTGAACTGAACCTAACACCAACAATCCATGAAGGGCTAAACCATTCAGGATCTAAACCGTGGATTTTCCACGTCAGGCCTCAACTCCCACGGCGCAACCAGTGGCCATCCCGCCTAAGCGAACAGCTGTCCGGCTCAAGCCATTGGTATCCTAGCTATGGTTATGCAGCCAAGGCCAAGAAAAGTCAAACCCATTTCTGGCTGACGGGTCGAGGCCAGCAAGTTGAAAGCAACCCATTTCTTCGGGATTGCCAACCACCGCATCACTCAAAGGACACTGGTCTGCCAAGGTCTGCCTGCGCTGCTTGCACCAGATCTGTGCCATGTCTCATGGCTACGACCAGAGTTCATGCTCAGCGGCCGCATCGGAGTTCGAGAAGAAAGCAGCGATGCCTGGCAGAGCCGGCCAATGAGAGGTTTGCGATACGACAATTCAACCAAATACATAGGGGTAGCGAGTTCGACAAAGCTGAGCATCCTTTCGGTAAGCCGCGAGAGGGCCAACCACCCTTTGTGTAAGCATGCTTGAATCACTGTATTGTTAGACAGTCTCCTGCTGGCTTTCAGGTAATTTGGATCAACCCTGATCTCACCTTCACTCTGGACGTCGATTTTGCAACCGGCCTTCGAGACTTTGGATGCTGCCCTGGGGCGCGTCGGGGTTGCGCACGGTGTAGAGGATCACCACGCAGTAGATCACCGCGTTGATGATGGGCCCCAAGAAGACGGCAGGCTTGAGGAACGACCAGC